TCCATCAGTTTTGTTAGGGAATCTTAGGCAGAAAAAGAAAAATTATGAAATGACTTGTCTTTTTAAAATGGTTTTATTGTTGCCAATTTGTGAGCTGCTTCAGTTACTGGAAGGAAAGCCTCTTCCTACTCTCAGGACTGGGTCAGAAAGCAGGTGAGGCTACCTTCTGTGGTGCCTTGTGTGTCCTGAATCAGTCTTTGAAATAAGTGAACTCCCGTTTAACAAGAGTGTGCTAAGAGCCAGGATCACACGTGACTTATTTCAGATCCTTTTGGGTCTGAGCTGAGAACTTCCTGACATTACGTAAGTGCATTTTATCACTTTTTTCCCATATGGGCTTAGTTTTTTTGTTAAAATATATACTTTTTCCTCCTCCTTTTTGAGAGGTTTTGGGTAGTAGGGAAGGTACTTGGTCTGGCATTTTTCCTCACTCATGATGAGTAATTTATTGTGATATTTTTTTCACATTATCTTCCACTAGCACATTTCTAGATTAACTTCCTCGTAGCACTTGGTGAGGGCTCAAGAAAGTCAAACTAATTATAATATTAGCCTAAGTCAGACTTAGTTGGGAAAGTGAATTGAAGCACATGAAAAGCAAATTAAATGAAGTATTTTTGAAATAAATAGGAGCAACTACTAGATCTTCTGTTGTTTTGGATTGTCTCTTCCATGTGGTTTTTTTTTTTGTTCACATGGATAATAGAAAATTATCCTGAAATAAATAATTTTTAAAAGTCACTTGTTGGCAATATAGGATTTTAATTAAAATACAGTCTTTAGTTTTACCTTTGGATAGTACCTGGACATAAATTAAGTATTTCTCTTCTCACCCTCCTGTCCATTTTTATCTGCATTTCTACATAGCATTATTTCTCAAAACAGGTTGACCCCCCTGAAGATGCTGATAATTATCCCTGTTCCTATAGCAATTTGTTCTGTAACTGGATTGCCAATATGCCTAATCAGAAATTTTGTTATTATTTTATCCACATATTGATTCCTTCATCAGCAGCCAGAGTCAAATGTCTACTTTTGAAAAATTAAGGCAAGAGATAGGGAAAATGTCTAAGTTGCTGCTGGGGCCCTCTTGGTTTTTTCAGACGGTGGATTATGAATTCTGCACGTAAAATGCTTAATTGACCTCAAGTGGCTCAATTATTTTCTGGATGAACTTCTAAATCATGTGACTCCTTGAATCACAATCAGCTTTTGTTGTTTCAAGTATCCAGAGTTGGCAATAGGTGACTCAGCANTATTTATTCTTTATTTTAGGCCTCGTAATGGGTTTAATTTTACGATATGCTACAGCACCAACTGATATTGAAAGTGGAACTGTCTACGATTGTGGAAAACTGATCTTCAGTCCATCAACTCTGCTAGTTAATATCACTGACCAGGTTTATGAATATAAATACAAGAGAGAAATAAGCCAGCACAACATCAACCCTCACCAAGGCAATGCTATACTTGAAAAGGTAAGGACCCTATCTGGTCATATACTATTGTTTTCCAATATAAAGAATTGCATCCTATATGAGCCTCTGTATGAAACGCATTCACACACATATATATGTCCCTTTCAACACCACATCACTGGGGCCATTTAGTCGATTGAGGGGTCAAGACCTTGAATTTTACTCTTGTATAAGCTCAGTTGTCTGCATTTTTTCCTACAAGTTGGGAAAGAAAGATTTTTAATAGAATTGTTTTGCCAGCCACAGTTACATTGGGCAAAAAAATGATGACAAAAATTCAGCATCTCTGCCTTTCCTGATACTTGATTCAAGTTTT